AAAAAGGTTATGCAATGACTTAGTATATTCTCATTTTGTACATGAGGGATGCCAGTTTACAGGCATCATCAATATGATAAATTACATATACGATTAGTAAGCATATTTAATAATAGTAATTTAATAAAATACATTTTTTCCTACCTGTGTAGGACACACCAATTGTACAGGCATGGATAAGTATTATTTAAATTACATAAATTTGGTTCAAGGTAAAATTATAAGGTTGCAGTCATTTTGTCTATGGGAACAATATGATAACTAGTCATTCAATGGAGCACATCAAGAAATATAGAAATATTGTCTTCGCATTAACAAAAAAAACCCAAGTATGTTTTGGATGGATTACAAATACTCGGGAAAAAAATAAAGCTTGAAGTAATTCCTCCATATAACTTTGGTGTGTACGGCATCGAGTCTCATTGTTGATTTATATCCAAATTTGATAATAATTTAAAATAAGTAATACACTTGTATACTTTTGTCAGCATTTTCTTCGTAACATCACAAGTGAATAGTACTCAAGGTAGGCTGATAATAATGACAGTCTGTATTTTCTTATAAACGGGTGTTTTCAAGAAATGAAAGCTATTTTTGCAGGTACAATCAGTTATGTTGTAAGTTACAATCGTGAAGTATTATAAATCAATACTTTTTTATTGGTATAAAGGTATATTTCACAACTGTAATCCAGGTTGCGTCGTTGGTGAAGGCAATGCGCAATTCACGAGGGAATTGTAAGATATGGGACCAATAATGTTTGCAGATCATTTGTCATTGTAAATGGGCAAATATCTACATTCTTCATTCTCGTTCAAAAAGTTAAATGGAAGCTGAAATGGTGAGAGACAAAAGAAGACAAACAACAACAACGCAAAAGAAAGCAAGTGGAGTACTTAGGGAGTGATTAATATGCATATATACATTTATATTCTGTTTAGTAATTATAGTTATTTTGGTGCACTAACTAACTATTCCCGTTATGCTAACTTTTATATTGTGTGAACTAATATTATTGTCCTGTGTAAAAATGTCTATCATGTACTTCCAATAATATAAAAATTTATAATTGTAGTTTGTTGTAACTACACGTTTAATGAACTTAAAATATCTATGTTGGGCGAAAAAGTGGGTGTAGGATTCAGACTCAGAAGTGCACTGTCATCTTTGAGCAGTCTGGTGACTGAGGAGATGAACACTGCGAGTGTGTTTGCATCGCGCATATCAGCTGGTAGTCTATTCCAAATGACTGAAAACTTATTTAAGAAGAAATTATACCGCATGTAAGTCTGACAATGCTCAATAGCAACTAGGTTGTGATGATTTCTAAGATTGTAACTGATGACAGCGGTAGGTTTAATTATTGGCTCGGAGAAGTGCACGAGCAGATTAGTTAGCTTGTAGTAAAAAATCAGGTTTAGCTTAAGACGTCTTTTCCAGAGTGGTTCTAAACTTAGTCTGTCGCAACGTTCATAGTATTGGAGACCACTTTCTAAAGCAAGAATTCTTAAGGTGAATTGCCGTTGCACTCCTTCTAACTTAAGCTTGTCATTTTGTCTGAGTCCGCTAAGAATAAACGGGCAGTATTCTAAAATAGGTCGGACACATACTTTATATAATAAAACCCTAGTTTCACAACAAACGAAATTGCGAGTTATGCATCCTAGGAGCCTTCGTGTTTTACGTCTGGCATAATCAGTTTGTTCAGAGAACGTTAAGTTACTAGAGTATCTGATACCGAGATCTACGACTGCGTTGAGCTTGGCTAGTTTACGCCCATTTATTTCAAGATTCAGGTCAAGGTTACTGTTTCCGACACAAATCCAGCCGCACTTATCAATGTTGAACTTTAGACAGGATTCAGTACACCATGTTGCGAGACTACTTAGTTCAAGATGTATTTTATTTACCATATCGCTTAGTTCATGAGAGTAGCAGGAGTAAACGACTTTGAGGTCGTCAGCATATAGGAATGATTTACCTGAGGTGAAGCAGTTGCAAATGCTGTTAATGTATACCGTAAATAAAAGTGGACCTAGGACACTACCTTGCACAACCCCACTTGTGATCTGCCTAGGATGAGACAATACAGATCCAACCTTGGTTATTTGTACCCTATTGCTTAGAAATGATTTTAACCAGCTAAGTAATGGATTGCGAATCCCACATGAATACAGCTTCTCAAAGAGAATACTGTGAGATACCATGTCAAATGCCCTAGATATATCAAAGTAGAGAACAACAACTAGCTTACGTGCTTCGCGACTACTAGTGATGCAGTTGAAAAAGTCGAAGTGGCAAGTAACGCAAGACCTATTTTTGAGAAATCCGTGTTGAAACCTTGTAACAAGATCTTCCTTAAGTAGATAGTCTGACAACTGATCTTTGACAACTTTCTCCATGACTCGCGAGACAACTGGGGTTATATTTATAGGTCTGTAATTGCGGACGTTTGCCTTATCACCAGATTTATAGTGTGGAATTATGAAGCTAGTTTTCCACTCATTAGGGTAAGTGCCAGTGTCCATAGATACTGCGAAGAATTTAAGAAGTAGTAGGGGTATACCACACCCACTGTTTTTGAAAATTAAAGAAGCAAGGCCATCTGGTCCCGTGCTAGTGGAAGGTTTCAGGCTTTTAACTGCTTGTTCTATTAATTGGTCGGTGAACACTATGCTTCCGAGGAAAGAGCTAGTAAGGGGGCCGGTGTCACCAGGAGTGCGCGTTTCTAAACTGAATTTTGCAAACCATTCACTGAATATTTCACAGATGGTGGCAGGCACATTGTAGATAACTTTGTCATGAAGTAAATAGGGGATGTCCCTAGTCGACTGCATTCGTTTTTTAAGAAGTGTTGTTAAGTTATAAACTTTGGAGGTGCTTTCAAGTGCCCTTAATTCTTCGTCGAGGTCCTTTTGAGAGCGATGGCGCTTGATAGATTCAAGAGACTCGTGGATTGAGTGCAGTAGTGATATATCCTTAGTGGAATAGTACTGTTTCTTCAACTTCCTTAACTTATTGCGGCATGCCCTCGGAATGTATTCAGCTTGGTGTCTACTTAATTTCACTACCTTCTTAGGAGCAACAGTATCTAGACAAAGGATAACATTCCTGTAAAATAGGGACACTACAGCCTCCAGGGAGTCAGTGGTAAAATATTCATCCCAGTGACAGAGTCGAATGAGTTCTTGGACTAATCCCCAGTCTGTATGTTTGTAACTACGACAAATCAAGCTCCCTGAATCCTGTTTGTTTCCTGTATTTAGTGGTGAGAAAGGCAGAGAGCAGAGCACCATTCTATGGTCACTACTGGAAAATCTGTTACCAACATAGGTGGAGACTGGGATTGTGTCATGATAAAACACAAGTTCCAACATGTTGTCACCACGAGTGTGTGTCTGGACGTGTTGCTGCCATCCATAACAATCGATAGTGGCAAGTATTTCGTCGAAGCGTTGGGGGCCGGAACTACTTAACCAATTGACTTCTGGAAGATTGAAGTCCCCTGCAATTATTTTGTAATTAGTACTAAACGATGAGGCGTGTGCGAATGATTTAGCTAATAACGCATCAGTTTCTTTAGTTGAGCTTGGTACTCGATAAACACAGCCTATGAGAAGCTTGTACTTATCTCCTTGTAAGACGACCCAGAGTGAATCAGTTACCTCCTTAAGTATTTCATCTTCCACCTTACTGGCTACGAATGAGTTATGTATATATATGAGACATCCTCCACCACGCTTGCAATCTCTATTTGCACGGTGTACAGTGTAATCATCTATGCCTATGTGCACATCAAGTACAGAGTATGAGCACCATGATTCAGTAATCAGAGCTACAGTAGGCTTGGCGATAAATAATAATGCCCTTAGTTCAGATATCTTATTGATTAAGGAACGTGCATTAATTAGCAATATCGTGAATAAGTCACGGGATACTACAAACTGGCTTAAGATATCACCATAACCTAACTCTGTTTGTGCGTCAACAACGCAAGAGTTTATGAATGATACGGGGGTCGGACTGGGTGTCTGTACATCGGGGTTAGAGTGCAGTGAGGTGGTCCTAGGTGCCATGGGTCGTACCAGTGATTCGGGACACTTGGAAAATTTACCATTTGTTCCTGGATATAAGGATAGTAGATGTTGGGCCTGGGTTGACGGTTAAAAAGCATAGCATCAAATGGTCTACCCATCCACGTGCTATCCATCATACCGGTACACACTTTCGTGTTGGTTTTATAACTTAAAGGAAATTGAAAGGGAAGGTGCTTTGGTTGTAAGACTTTGGGGGTTTTGGGGCCTGACTTTCTATAAGGTGGAGCATACTGAAAACCACCAGATATACTTGAGTTTCGAGAGGAACTTTTCGTAAGAGGTGAGGGTTTTTTGACAGTCTTTCTCTCAGCAAGCGTATTGAATACAAAGTATTCTTCCCCATCATTAGTCTCAACCCGGCGAAATTTGTTCATTATGGTGAGGTCACCACGTTTGGGTAAGAATTTCTTAGAACAGCTTGCAGCAGTTCTACCTATTTTAACATCTTTCGGTGAGACGTTATTTACAGGGGTACTGGTATCTAAATCAGTCCCTAGTTCCATTGCCATGCGTGGTTGTTGTGTGGTTTGCTGAATGCTAATGTCAGCATTAGGTGACTGTTGCTGTGCACGATCGTTTATGGGTAATTCTAAGCTAGAGGAGGTGGCCAGGTTATTACTAGGCATCATTCTGCGCTGACAAGGTGTTTTATCCTGAGCTATGGTTATAGACTTATAACTGCTGTTCAGTCTTAGGTGATCCTGACATTTAGTAAACTTACTAGAATCAAGGGAATTACTGAACTTAAAAATAATGGGACAGTTAGCCTGGTTAGACTTTTTACGAAGTCTTTTGCATTCACATGGAACACTGGCCATGCCGCAACAAATCAGGATTTTGTGTTTCACAGTCTTCAGAGGAAGAGAATCTGGGACATTGTAAACTATAGCCTGGTGAGAAGAGGTTATACGCTTCATCACCTCCGCAGCCAAGCAGTCAATCAGATTTTCGGCCTTATTTAGGGTGTCTGGAGACATTTTAGGATGCTTTCTTAACAGACAGGCTATTGGGTCTGAATCCGAAAGCTTGCTTTGAGTTACATCCAGTAAAGACTTAACCTGGCCAATATCAGAACCGCTCTCCGTGATATTTGACATTGGCAGTGACATTCTATCAAACTGACCTAATTTTTCCTGAAGTTCATTTACTTGCCTTTGGATATCTTTCACAAGGAGGTCTAATTTACAGATCTCAGAGTTCTCTAACAGAACATCTTTCATCTGTATCACAGGAGTGAGAATTGCACTCAAGCCATTTTGTGAGCTAGTAGTTAATGCTGTATTACAGGGTGGTAATGCAGTTATAACCGAGGTTGAGGCACTATCTAAAACAACTGCGTTTCTACGAACACGTTTTTTAGAAATTTGGACCATAATTTCAAGGATTATATGACTATAAGCAGTAAATGAATATCAGAGCAAACACGTGCAAAAATGTCACCAATTTCGAACGTACTGCCAGAAGAAGAGGAACGTTGCCGTAATTCTACCTAACAGGGGCCATAGCTGCTGGTTAGAAGACTTCGAGATGGACTATCTGTCAACATTAAACTGCAGATCAATCTTGTTGGAGGGACTTTCAGTCACAGACATCTCCATGTTGTGCTGCAAACATTTCTGGAGACCGATGTGGCAATAGATCCCCCCTCCGACTAGTACTCATTCGCAAGAGCCATTTCTAATAGTTGTTGGTTGTTGAGGCCATTTCTCTTGGGAGATCTGCAAGATTCTGTTACAATCCGTTTGTGATATGTTCGTGGTAACCATGGTTTTGAGTGGAATATTCGTCATTTCATCACGTTCAGAGGACACTTGTGGGCACATTTGTGAAGCACTAGCAACTGGTGTTAGGCTGCTGCAAGGTGACGATGCCACTACCTTGGTTTCAATGGTCATTGTATCAGTGTTCACTGAAGATGGCTCGACTTCAACAGGAGGGACGGCAGGTGTGACAGCCTCTGTTGACGTCGACGTAACCGAGATCTCGGCTAGTACCTGCTCACAGATACGTAGTGTAATGGCAGGTCAGTCGTAGGTTACGCTGACGTAATCTTTCCATGCTTAGTATAGGGTATTTAGCGTTAGACTAGGAAAATATTAAAAATGAACCACAGCGACTACTTACCGTCATCGTGAACAGTTTAAAAAGTGGGCGCACAATGTGTGGATGTAAGCCAACTAAACAAAAAATTGGTTGCGCTACAATTAACATTGACGACTAATGTTTTCATGAACTCCACTGATTGGTCAGTAAGCATGAACTCACATATAAAATCATCTTTGTTACACCATGAGTCACATGAGTCACACTATTAGCAAGTGTATTGACCCCTTAAATTATCACAGTCAAAGTGACAATAACAAGTCACAGGTAGATTTCTCAGTGTGACTTCAATGTGATACTGTTGGCCACTATTCTTAATGTATATACGTTTATAAACATGCATACATACAAACACATATGTGTATGAGTGTGGGCCTGTCTGGATTAGTGTATGATGGAAAACACTTTAGTTGTAAAGAAACAACCTCTACCATTCTTACTTTTAGGTGTTAGCACTTCCATCTGTGTTCTGATTGTAGGATGATGTGAAAATATTCAACAGGAAACTGTCGATGTAATTACATTAAGAAAAACGCATAATTGAAGTAGTGGTCACGTAATTTCGACATAAAAACTTAACTACTCACAGTTTATCAGTAATCTCATGTACAGTGAAATTTTCCATGGGTTGCATTATATGACATTTTTATCCTCATCTACACGACGGGTCTATGTATCTCACAACATTTTAGGTGTTTCTGTAGGTTCCATATCAGTTTGTTGATTAGATGTATCACACAGTGAAACAGTATTATTACTGGATGACGTTGTTTCCAACACAATTTATTGTTCATAATCATATCACTTGTAATCACACGACTTCGAAACTTGAGTTTTTATAGTTTTCTTTGTCCTCTCCTATTTGTCACAAGGGTAGTAGAATTTTCCAGATATCTGGGACAGGTGATGAATCATTCCTATTACATGTATTCGCAGTTGATTCGATAAACAAGGCTTCTGTTATCAATCTCTCACTGACATTAGATTTTAAAACTGTCATCCTATCCCATCCCACTGTATGGTTGTGTGTGACTGCATGTAGTGCTGTAGCTGAACTGTTCTCTAGATTTCTTATCTTATTCGGGTCAACCGATCTAGATTTGGCTAGGTTTTTATGCTCAGATAGTCTGACTCACTGACGCTGTTCTACTAGTTTGACCTATGTATTTGACCTGACAATCATTGCAGGCAGGGTATTAGATAAACTGAATTGTTTTGTTTTAAGGGCTCCACAGGACTGACCGACAAAGCTTGTTTCTAATTGAGTTTGTGGTTGGTTTGAATGCCAGCCACTTTTATTCCTGGCTGCCTTGTTAAGAATTCTGCGTAAGTTGGTTTCTTAGGTTCCTTCCTGGTATGGAATTACTACTGATGATTTATATTCCTCATTGTTGATGTTGTCTTGTGCATATTTGACATGCATGTCGTCATTAATGTTATTATCATTATTATTATTATTACTATCAATACTATCATTTGTTGTATTTTTACGTTTCCTTACATATTTCCTGACCAATTTATCAGGATAATTATTAAGTTTCAAAGCTTTTCTTATATGTATCACTTCCTGTCTTAGATTATCCTTGGTACTACTTAGTTTTTGTGCTCTGTCACTTAGACATTTCACCAATCCTATTTTCACCGACTTAGGACTGGATGATCGGAAGTCTAAATATCTGTTTGAATGTGTAGGTTTCCTGTAAATACTAGTGTTTAACATTCCATCTTTTTTCCTTTTTACGCTACAATGTAACATTGGAAGCTCCTCTTCCTGACTCTCCAATTCATAAGTGAATTGAATAGACTCATCCTTTGAGTTCGAAAAATCTATCTATATCCTGTGGTCTAAGAACAGTGAATGTGTCATCTACACGAAATGCTGAATCGTGGATAAAAATAAGCCAAATGTTCATAAATAATAATCGCATTTTTTCATTTGGTTCTTGTCTAACTGAGAAAAAATTATCTTACAATCATTTCTCCCCTTACCTGAGATAACTCTCACACTCTGTCTCGCTATACCTCATGAGTTAGTTTATTTTATCCCCTAACCCAAATGCGAAGTCAAAACACATCTGATGAAATATGGTTTGCTTATTACTAATTAACAGATCGAACTGCTGCACTTCTGTGCTGAGTTCCATGTTAAAACTCAGTCAGTCAGCTTTGTCACTGCAGCTGCTTAGTGTCACAACTCACTCCAGTGTTAATTGGCTTAAACAGCTATTATTACCATCTCCTGAATACTCTATGCATCTCCCGATTCCTTAAATTATCCAGAAGAAAACATAAACCAAAAGTCAGTAACACGGACATAAGAAATGGTGTGAATAGAAGTCAATGAGATAAGTGATATTTTAATGCCTGTGGTAAGCCTAACTAAAATACTCATGTATGTGAATGAAGCAAAATGTTGTGTGAGTGACTTGGTATAATCATGAGCGATAGATTGTGCTCGAAACGTCATCAGGTAATATTGCAGTACAACACAGTGTGATTTATCGAAATAAAATCTTATCAATGATGGAGTTATACTCAACCACAGTGCTCAAGTTTTATACTTATATCAGAAATACTTATCTTATGCGTTATGTGTCTCCTGATTGTTTCACTTTTGTCTTCCTCATTGCAGGTTGTCAGTCTTCATAGACATTCTACTAGATTTCGTCATACATAGTGTCTGGAAGCAGTCTTTCAATACATCCACCTCCCACAAAGTTGTTGGTATGAAGCCTTGAGATTATTCACTTAGGGCCGTAGTACAATTAGTACGCTTATATTACTTACTGATGCAATGACATGCAAGACTTGTGCATGTTACTGTGAAGTTTGCTTGTAATAACATTCCCTCCACAGTAAATACAATGCTTGTGATAACAATTCTTCATTACCTTTTCATTGCGTTGATAGGGGCGTATATAATAGAAAAAAGCTAACCTCGTCGTATTAGTTCTCTAAAATACTTTCACTGAGTAAGAAAAGAGAAGTGGGGAGAGTACAGCACCTTGGGGGACACCAGATTCAGTGAGCACAGCAGACGAGGATTTACCTTTGTATACGGTGTTCTGCATTCTGTTAGAGAAGTAGGAATGCAACCAGCTAGTGACCCAGGACTCAGTTTGTGTCATAAAGAGCTTATTTAACAAGAGACATCTAGGTATAGAGTCGAAAGCAGAAGTGAAGTCGATAAACGCGCAGCGGACGTATTTGGCACCTATATCTAATGATGAGACGATACTGTTGTGTAAGACGGCTGCAGCGTCTAAAGTGCCCCCACCCTGTCTATAGCAAATTGTTTGGGGTCTTCAAAGTTTTCAAGGCAGGGTTCAAGTTTAAGAAGTACTAGTTTTTCCATAAGCTTTAGAAACGGGGAAGTGATGGCAATGGGTCTGAACTTTACATTCTTGCTAATGCCAGGGACAGGGACTATTTTAATGTCTTTCCATGCAACAGGTACAACGTTTTTGGAGAAAGAAGCATTTAGGATGTTAGTTAGTGGAGAACATAAAGCATCTGCACATTGTTTTAGAACATATGCAGGTATACCATCAGGGCCAAGGCTACGAGAGGGCTTAAGCGTTTTAAGACATTTTAGAACATCGAGAGCATTAAAGTCATGAAAGTTATCAGCTACATGATTAGTAACATTAGAGGTAGTTATAGTAGAAGGAGAGCGTATAAAAGACTGATTAAGAGCATTAACATCATAAGAAAGAAAAACATTACATCGCTTACTATTGCCAGTAATTTCATTAAAAAGTTTCCACATGCTGATAGGAGATTTGCATGATAAAAGTGTATAATTATACATAGCATTAAGATTTTTGATTTCAGATTTGATTTGAGCATTAATCTTTTTGAGTCCTAACTTATCTTTGGATTTATATAATGTTTCTTTTTGCCTGCGAAGTTGTTTGAAACAAGGAGACGAGAA